ATAGCTTGGCCTCGAGGCGTATGAGGATGGTTTTGGTGTAATTCGGCGAGTCGCCGTATTGGGACTTCCGGACGGTAGAGCGAGAAGAGGGGCTGACGAATTGTAGCTGTGTCGATTGGTCCGATGAGAAAAGGGGAGGGGGACCGGCGATTAACCCCCCATCTTGTAATATCACCTACACGGCCTTCAATCCGGAGGGACCGGACTAAATACCGACGCCGAGTACATCTTCTTTCAACAAAGAATGGCTCCCAATAATAGGAAGAAGGTCTCAGTTGATGAGCTCCAGCTGCATGCATCGCCCGAGAAATGCTGGCTGTTGGTCAACGGAGCTGTCTGGGATCTTTCAGAATTCGCACCGGAGCACCCAGGTGGTGTAGACGGCAAGTCTCCATATTCCATTATACAGAGAAGTTGGTGGTCTAATAACTCAATCAGTTATTCACCGCCATGCCGGGCGTGATGCATCTGCCGTATACAATAGCATTCATGCGTCTTCTCTCCTTGAGAATGAGCTGGATGGTTCCAAGATGATTGGCTATATTGCCAAGGACGACTCTGGCAGTTCATCGAAGCTATTGATGGCACCAGAGGAATCTGTAGAGCTAACCACAGTAACCCCCAAAGACAAACCTAAGGGTAGGCGACCACTACAGAGCATCATTAGCACTCATGATTTCGAGGAAGCTGCGTCCGAGAACCTCTCTGCCAAAGCCTGGGCTTTCTTCTCCTCGGCTGCGACCGACTGTATTACAAAAAGAGCCAACGAGGGCTACTTTGATCGAATATGGCTCCGCCCTCGAATCATGAAAGATGTCAAGGAGATTCGCTACGACACCAAGATGCTCGGTGTCTCCATTCCCATGCCTCTATTTGCAAGCCCAACAGCAATGGCAAAGCTAACACACCAGGATGGAGAGCTGGCCATTGCAAAGGGTTGCTCCAAGTTTGGAATTCCTCAGACGGTAGGATCACAAACATGATTAACAGATACTAAAGATGCAGTAGAGTCTGACGAGATTGCTTAGATATCCACCAATGCCTCGTTTCCCGTGGCCGAAATCACCTCGTCTGTCGACAACACCTTCTTCTTCCAATTATACGTCAACAAAGACCGCTCTGCGTCGGAGAAGCTCTTGCGACAGGCCGAAGCCTGCGGTATGCGCGCCGTCTTCGTGACTGTGGACCAGCCAACACCGGGAAAACGCGAAGCAGATGAGCGTGTCAAAGCAGAAGGGACGGTCCTCACACCCACGCCGAACGGAGCAACGGCGAGTAACGACAAGAAGGGAAGCAGTCTCGGCCGCACCATGGCTGGTTTCATCGACCCGACGCTCAATTGGGAAGACATCAAATGGATACGCAGATCAACAAAACTACCTCTTGTGCTGAAAGGGGTACAGACCGCCGAGGATGTCCTTCTTGCTGTCAAGCACGGCATAGATGGTGTGTTGCTGGGCAATCACGGGGGCCGCAGCCTGGACACGTCGCCACCCTCCATCATGATTCTTCTGGAGCTACATCAGAAATGCCCCGACGTGTTCAACCATATCGAGATCTTCTTGGACGGCGGCATCCGTCGGGGGACTGACATGTTTAAGGCCCTTTGCTTGGGTGCGCGTGCTGTGGGCATGGGACGCCATTTCCTCTACGCTGCCAATCACGGGCCAGAAGGGGTTGAGCAATTGATCGAGAGTATGTCACACCAGAGACTTGGCAGCAAACCATTCGCTAACTAGAGGAGCAGTCATGCAGGATGAATTCGAAACGACGATGCGCATGATGGGTTGCACCGACCTCTCGCAACTGCACCCCGGGCTGTTGAATCTGTGTGACGTAGAACATTGGGGCAACGGCCTGCGGCCAGTATCTAGATCGAAGCTCTGAATGGAAGTTGAGAAGACAAGGGCTCGCTGTTGTGTCCGGGGTGAGAATGTAGGCTTCTAGCTAGGCGTATATTCAACCAGCATCGAGTTTCTCAATTGATCAACCATCCCATTTCTTTATCAGTCAACCGTTGTCCGCCATGGCGATGTGCATGGTGACGTTTCTGACGCCGATACCGCACCGTGTAGCCAAGAAACTTTGCTATTTGCATGTCAATTCCGGACCCAGTTGTGCAACCGTCGGTTAAAGCCAGTTGGATCGTAGCCAAGAGCCAATGAAGGCTCCAACATTAATATCCACCAGGTCCCAGGACATCTCTCCGCTTGTTCGAACGAGGCCTAGTCAGAGAGAATAGTGTGGGCTTGTGGAGCGAGTCGTGTCAGGCGACCGTCAAACTCCAAATTGTCTGCTCCGGTCTGATGCCCCCACGCACACTCTTATTATGTACGACCTCCACAGCAGTTGAGCTAACCCGCTTCTCCGCATGTCACGAATCGAGCTTGGGCCTGCCAGTCATTGGGGTTTCTCCCTTCGCTGCCCCATCCTAGCCCAAACTTCCCCAGACTCATCATCGGCCGCCGTTGAGCTTGCTCACTGCCTCTGCCTGTTGGTTATATGACTGCTGAAGATACAAGCTGCTTACGGCCATCATGGGGAACAGCCCTCACTCGCAAGACGGAGCAACCGTCTCCAGCTACAGACATCGCGGCCAGCGTGGGCCTCGAGCAAGAGCCTGTAGGTTGGACTCGTCACCCCGATTGACCCTCTCTAAAGCACACCCCCCTGGACCTGCAAGACATTGACTCACGCAAAACCTGCTCGCATAGGTGCTGAATGCAAGAGACATAAGATAAGATGCGAAGTAAGAAGAGGGGAACACGCCTGCGTGCGGTGTCTTCGAACCGGCATCGAGTGTTCACCTCATGATCCAGTCCAGCGTTTACTTGACGACAACGAAGCGTGAGTCTCGTCGCCCTTTCATAACTCATGACGATTGTCCTGTATGTATCCGGTAGGCATCCGGTAGGCTAACTAGGCCACCGCACAGATGGAAAGCCCAGGCAACGACCCAGATCCATCAATTGCAAGCTGCGGTAGCTGCACTCCTCCAGCGCACCCAACTACCAGATCTGCCCAACTTTCATGAATTTCACCCAAACACCACGAGTCCCACAGATTCGGCGATCGGCAATGTGTCCACCACGGAGTCTGTCATCGCCCCATACGACATGAGGGAGTCCTCTCCCGACCGTCAGGCTGATGACCCAGGGCTCGTCCAAGCCCCCATGAGCAACTTGTATGAGCTCACCAAGGCTACTCATCCCATCGGACCCCCGTCTGTCCCCAGACATATCAGACTGGCTTCAGAACAAGATCTTATTGCCAGCGGCGTCCTGTCCATATCCTGCGCAGAGCAGCTCTTGTCCCGCTTCCTCACCAACCAGAACCCACTCCTCTGGGGCGGCATCATCTTCCCTTACCAGTCACTCGATGCCCTCCGCTGCACCTCCGTCCTACTCTCCACCGCCGTCTTCACCATCGCCTCCCTTCATTCTCCAGGCGGCGGTGGTGGCGACGTCCTCCAGAAATGTTATGACACCTACATCTCCCTCGTCAGTAGGTCAAGTCTGTCGCGCAACCACTCCCTCGATGACATCCGCGCCCTTATCCTGGGCGCCTTCTACCTCCCCAACCTCAGCTGGAGGCTCTCCGGCCAGGCCGCCCGCATGGCCGCCGAGATGAACATCCACCAGTCCTTCCACAAGGTCATGAACGGCGACATGCGCCACGCCGAGCGCGTCCGCCTCTGGTACGCCCTCTTCGTCTGCGACCGCCACTTCAGCATGGCCTACCTGCGCCCGTCCGCCATGGCCGACGACGCCGCCGTCAAGGGCGTCGAGCGCTTCCTCGAGTGCACGTCCTCGGTCCCCGGCGACGTCCGCGTCTGCGCCCAGGTCGCCCTCTTCAAGATCCTCTCCGAGGCGCACATGGAGTACGGCAGCGACCAGTCCGCGCCCCTGACCGAGGCGGACCTCGACAAGCTGCGCGCGTACAACACCGCCATCGAGCAGTGGCGCATGCTCTGGCAGCCGCGCTCCTACGACGTCGCGGGCATCGGGTCCTACCCGTCCAAGGGCGTCGTGCTCTACTACCACTTCGCGCGCTTCCAGCTCAACTCGCTCGCCCTGCGCGGCGTGCGCTGGCCGAGCGACGAGCCGCTGTGCCTGAACCGCCGCGAGGCCGCCATGGCCGCCATCTCGGCCGCCATGAGCACGCTGCTGCACATCACGGGCGAGGAGGACATGCGCCGGGCGCTCAACGGGGTGCCTTTGTTCACGCACACCATGATCGCCTTCTGCGCGACCTTCTTGCTCAAGGTGGCGGCTATCTGGGCAAGGGGCGGGGATCATTTGTCGCAGTCGCTCGGGCTTGGGTTCAACCTCGCCGAGATTGTGTCGCTGGCGCGCAGGACCGCGGACCTACTGGCGCGGGTCGCCGAGGAGGAGGTCAGCGAGAAGCACCTGATGCGGCTCATCGTCGCGGGTATCAGGGAGATGCTGCAGCGGCTCGCGCTGGCGGTTGGGGACGACGCGATGGAGGCGAGGCCGGCGGGCAAGGAGGCTGGGCGGGAGCAGAAAGCCGACGGCACGGGCGCGGCGGTGGACTTTGCTACTGTCCAGATGGGTGATGGGATCGACGGGATGATATATAACATGGATCTGCATAGCCTGGCCGGGTTGCTCGAGTACGGGTCGGATCAGTTCCTGGATACGTTTGTTTCGTCGAATGAGTTGGACGCGTGGGATGCGCCGTCGTGAGGTAATGAATATAATGAAGCGATGATGTGATTGTTGGCAGTCTTTCTATTTTCGTGCGTCAGGTTTGTCGTCTTGTGAGCCGGCGAGGCATATCAGTCTAGTGTGAGGATCGTTCTTTGAGACGAGAGGTCTACCTATCACATCGTGAGTCCGTGAGCTTATCATGGGCAAAGGGGTTGAAAGAGAGAGCTTGTGTTCTACTATCACATGTGTTGTCTAGACGTGCTTTGAAGTTATACATTCTCTGGGACAATGCCTACCATATTCTAATCAGTTCTGGAAATGTTGGTGGAACTACTCGGCCCTTCTTGGATGTCTCTCCCACAGGAAACAGGTAGCGACGAAGCCTACACCCGTCAACGCCGTCATGAAAATGTTTTGTTGGTTGTATCCCTCCGCGAAGGCCCGTCTGACTTGTATCTGCTGCAGCTCCGTGAGGGTTTGAATCTCCGAAAGGGACTCCAAGACCGCCGCCGCCTCGGCTGGGTCGATCAACTCGCCGAGTTTGGGTTTGACGTAATTGTTGAGCATCGTTGCACTGGACACAGTGAGGTCAGGCAAAGTTCAGACGATGAGTAGGGCTGACTGTTGTGATTGCTTACCAGATTGCCAACGAAATGGTGCCCCCGAGTACACGGACCTGTGTTGCCGCACCCATCATTACCGCTACCGAATCGGTCAGTCTGTACCTTCAATGAGGTCACCGTGCCTAAGCTTGAATCACTTACGAAGATTCTCCTTGGAAACGACGAGCCGGGCTAGGATGAGGAGAGTCGAGAGGCCAAGACCGAAACCGAAACCCATGATGGCCTCATAGGCGTAAAGTTCTTTGGGAAACGTCGCCGCGTTAGTTGGTAGGCCGCAGGTGAGCCCAACCCCGACTAGCTGGAACACGCCAGACACCGCAAGGATGTAGAAAAGGGGGACTTTAGCCCTTCCTGTTAGGAACCCAGCCAGTGCCGTCGCAACCGGAGACGCCAGGAGCAGAGGGAGCATGCTAATTCCCGCCTCGAACGCCGACTTGCCGTACACGGCCTGCGCTCGCTGCGGCAGGTTGACGATGATGGACACAAACGGGAAGCCGATGAAAAATGCAGATCTGTGCAACACTTGTCAGCTCTCGATGTCTCCATCCCGGTTAGTAAGAGGCAATGGGGACGCACAGAAGCAACGCAGCAGGCAACCTGTCCTTGCAGATGCTGGGAGGGAAGACGGGCTCCTGTCTGGAAGCCGACCTCTCGACGTAGATCTCCCAGACGATGAACCCGATGGTCAACGCCACCGCCAGCGCGAGAGGGGCGATGATGGCGGGGCTGCGCCAGGGATATCTCGCGCCGGCTTCCTCCAGGGCGAATATCAAAAGGACGGAGAAGGCGAGCAGCAGCGACATGCCCAGCAGGTCGAGCCGGGCCCAAACAGGCAGCCGGAACTTGGAGCGGACAATCTGCTTCATCGAGAGCTGGGAGGATTCGTCCGACATCGGTAGGAAAACGGCGAGTGTTATGAAGGCGACCGCACCCCCGGGTATGCTGGGCGTTGAGAGTGTCAGCAGGCACAATTCATCGGCAACGGGAAAGGGGAGACAGGGGAGGGGGGGATCTTACTTTAGCAGAAAGACCCAGCGCCAGGAGGAGTGGGCGTTGATGACGCCGCCGAGGACGGGACCGAGGACGCTGGCGATGAGGAAGACGGTGGCGACGATGGCCATGTATTTGCCGTACTTGCGGACCGGCACCAAGGTCGGGGCGAGGACGAGAACCATGGAGTAGATGCCCGAGGCGCCAATGCCCTGGAAGGCGCGGAAGATGATTCTGCGACGGAGTGCGCGCGCGTAAGTTGGCGGATTCTGCTAAGGGGATGTGAAGGGGCTTATCCAAACTCCAAAGACTCACAGGGTGACGATGTCATTCGACGCGCCGCAGAGGGCAGAGAAGACAGTGAAGATGGCAAGGGCCACGAGGAGCATAGTTTTTTTGCCAAAGAGGTCGCTGACCTTGGCGAAGATGGTCAAGAAGCCTTGAGGGAGAGCGTCAGCAATGGCGGTTGGATCGATAAGACACTTGGACGGAGTAGGCTTGTCTCTTACCAGTGTATGTCAAGAGATATGCGGTGACAACCCAATCTCTGAGAAGGAAACCGCTCAGGGCATCGGTGATGGAGATGAGGGAAGTGCTCACAATAGTCGTCTCGAGCGTGGAGAGGAACAAGCTGATCCACATACTGGAGAGTGTCAGCAGCGTACAGCAGGAATTGAGTGGTGATGATCAAGCCAAGTACCCAGCGGTCACAATCCACAGCCTCCATCCTTTGAGATACTTCTCGTCGTCATCATTGTCGCCGTCTGTGTCAGTTGTGGTAGTGACTGTCTGGTCCGGCTCTGTCTTGGGAGGGCTGGTTTGGGCGTCTTTGCCCTTGACAAGGCCGCCAGTACCCTTCTGGGCTTCTTCTGGTGTGACGGCGGGTGATTCGGTCATCATGTTTCGTCAATTCGGGTCCCGATGACGTTCGGCTTGGCTAGTGAACGCTCAAGAAGCACACCCAATGAAGAGAGGAAAGGCAAGGCAAAGCAACCTCTGGCTTGCTCAAGCGGGCTGGTCGAGGACTGGCTCGAGTCCACGATTGCAAATCTACACTAGACAACTAATCCGATGAGCCGCAGAACGTGGCATTATGGCTCGTGTTTCGGGGTTGGCACGTAAGCGCGCACCCCCCATCAGGCTGCCGCGAACACCCTTGGCAATCTAATTCGTCCAAGTCCGAGCGACGGATCCTTGCTTCCCGTATAGCAAAGCTATGGCGGATGGAACCAGACTGAAATTATTCCCACTATTTCCGCCAGCAAGCAGCCGGCGGGATGTGAAAGTGTGTTTCTCCCGCCGTGCAAACGGCGGCAATGCAGGCTCTCGCCTGAATTCCGATGATCTGTCAGTTGCTTGCCCCTACCGGTACATAGTTTGTACCCGCCCCTGAAACAAGGTGGTACCTTTGTGGATAAGCAAGTGTTTGATTGGGGTGGGTGGTGCAAGCTACACGATCCCCGTCTCTACCGTATTATGCATACGACCTACACAACTCTATCATGCGTTTATCCTTGGCCTTGAGAGAAAAAGGCCTGCATGCTGGAGAAGGAAACCCTCCAAGGAACCTTCTGAAGTATGTGCTCTAAATCTTTCGAGGTCGACCCTCTCTTCCCTCGACAGTGTTAGTTGGGAGAAGCAACTTCCGCATGTTGCCAGCCCGGTGTGACTCAATCTTGGTACTGAGATACCTACGATCAGCGCAGGCATACCCATGCTCTCGGAGATGCTGTTACAGTGCGACCGGTAGATAGGCAAGCAACACAGTCTAGGTCTGAGCGCGTAACAAGTTCCCGTCCCGACACTGTGGCTTCACCGGTTTGTCTGAAACTGGCCTGCATGATGCCGCCAGAACTTGGCGCTCTAACCAATAGCCGTCGAGCTCACTTCTCGTCGTCTGCTGCTCGTACTCAGTGTCCTATCATTAATTGCCCGACGGGAACACACAAACCTGACGCGAGCCACAGGCCCACACCACGCCGCATATTCTGTTTCGCTCGCTCGGGGGATTGCAGTGTTTCCTTCCCACCGTCTCAGGATCCCGAGCTCCCTAGGTAGTTATCCGGGCACAGGTATGGATTTGGGAGTCTTCCGGGGGCCAAACAGTTGCTGCAAAGAGGCATTGTACAAACACCCACAAACACCCCCTTTCAAGGCTGTTTGAAGCCTCTTCCAAATGGATATTTTTAACGGCATTTCGGCAAGCTGAAAATAGCTGGTCTTACCTTCTAGTTACGTCGTCAGGCCGCCTATGGAACGAATCGTTCTCAACCCGTCAAGTCGGCCGAGAATGCCGTTCGCTTGATTTGTTGGAAGCTGGGAGATAATTGGTTGGAGGCTGGGAGACTGTGATACCTGCTCACGGGCATGATGGCTCAAATTGGAGATGGAAGACCGAGGTCTCCTCCCGCAACCAGCCTGGAGGATTCATGAAGCCATCGATAGGTTGGCTTCGGCGTTAAGGGGACCGGACACAGCGTAAGCCACCGTCTTGCAGCCGTCGGACCAGCACCAGCAGCAGACTGTGATGCATTAACACCCACCCGTGCCAAGTGCCACGGCGAACGCCACCGGGTCCATCTGAATTATGCCTTCCGGTACGTACAGTGCACTTTGTGCCAGAGGTTTGGCTAAGGCGGATGCTGCAACCAAGCTGGCAAGTGGGTGACATTGGAAATGGCACACCTAAGCACTCCCCTGATACATGCTTGATCATTATCTTTCATAGCTAGCTATATATTTAGAATCAGCTACTCATTTAGATATTTGGGTATTTATTTGGGTCTTCATTTGGGTGTGCCATTTGCTGTGTCACCCTCTTGGCTGGCTGCCTTGCAGAGCAGCGGCGGATTGGGTGTCATCAATTTCCCGCTGCGGATCTGTACAACACCTCTATCCGGCGGGTATATAAGCAAGGCAAATTAACCCCCCTCTAAAGAGGGGGTGATACGGACTGTATCTTTAATATATTTATATCTAACTCTTATCCCTTTAAACTATAATTTCTTAATAATAATAGTAATTTTTAATTTAAAATTAATATTATATTATTACTATATATTAATTTAATTATAATTAAATTTTTAGAAGAATTATACTATTATATAATAAAAGTAGTATATTTCTATATTTCTAGATCTAATTAAGTATATTTAATATATAATTAGCCTAAGAGTAAGTTTATAATAATAGATTTAGCTTTAATTTATTAAACTAATCTTCTTTTATTAAAGAAGTATATTTAACTATTAAAAAAAGATAAATTTCTTTCTTTTAAAATCTTAAATAATCTATAAAGAGGAATTTTAAGTTTTATAAAATAAAAGAAAGCTATTATTATTATATATATTTTAAAGATTAAAAATACTATTTTTTAATTAAGTAATACTTATATTATTAATAAGACTAATTTCTATACTAACTATATAATAAAGAGTTTATTTCTTATAAATAGCTTTAGAGATTTAAAAAGAAATATTCTAAATTAGTTAGTTATATTAGTTAGTTTAAAGAAATATTCTAAATAGATATTAAATTTAATTCTAATAAATTTAAAGTCTAATATATAGAATATATAAATATTATTAAAAGGCTTTAAATAATACTAGATAATCTATAGAATTTTAATAAAACCTCTTTATAAATAGACTAGATCTATAGAAAAGTAAAAATAGCTTCTATTTTAAGAAGAAAAATACTTATTAGATTCTTTTCTAACTAGATAATAAGAAAAGCTTAATATTAATTAATATAATTAATATAGTTAGAAAATATATTTTTTTTTTATTTTAATTATAAAAATATTACTTAAGGATTATATATATATTAATATTAATAATAATATAGTTATAATATATATAGATATTAATTATAATAATTTATATAGAGCTCTTTAGTAACTTAAGTATTTTAATTATTATTCTTTTAAAGTAAATAATAATTTTAAAGATTATATAATTAAGAACTAGTTTAATTATAGAATTAATATTAATTATAAGAATTAGAAAGAGTAGATTAATAAAAAGCTTTTTTATATTTAAATTATACTATAAATTATAAAACTCTTTCTAATAGATAAATTCTTAGTTTATAAAAACTCTAAATTTCTCTAGTATTATAATATATTTAATATTATACTCTTTAAGCTATCTTCTTATATAAGCTATCTTATATAATCTCTTAATATAGGTATTTTTTAATATATAAAGTAGTTATAATAAAGAAGTCTATAAAAGTAGGTTTATAGTAAAGAGCTATAGATAATCTATTTTAACTTCTTTTACTTTTAGAAGTATATAGTTAAAAATTCTTTTTAAATTAGATATATATATATAGACTTTAAAAATAATAAATTATAATTTATTAATCTAGATAAGATATTATTAATAATTAGAATAAATTATAAAGAGTAGATTATATTAATATAGCTTAATTTAGTATATAAAGCTATTATAATCTTAAGATTTACTAAATAAAAACTTATAAGTATCTTAATAACTAATATTAATAATAATTTATAATAAGCTATAAAAGATATATTAATTACTTTAGATTATTTTATTATCTTATAGAATATATAGTTTAAAATATTAAAATTAATATATAAATAGTTAGTCTAATAGGCTATATATATAAAAACTATATAGTATATTATAAATATAAAAGATAGTACTTTTATAAAAGATTAACTTTTTATAAAAATTAAAGCTTAAAAAAAAAAGAAACTTAAAGAATTAATAAAGAAATAAATTAGAATTTAGAAGTAAGAGATTATAAAGTTAAAAATTAAAAAGATTACTTTATAAATATTATAATCTTATTCTTATAATTATATTATAATAAAAATCTAGATAAAAGTAGAGATTAAAACTTATAAATATATAGTTTTTATAAACTTATAAGTTTAAAAGCTATATTTTACTCTCTAAATAGCTTAGGAATAAATAGATAACTCTTAGAGGAAGTTATTATTATATATATTATCTCTTAAAGCTTTAGAATTATTTCCTAGCTATTTAAATTAAAAAGCTATTTAAAAAGCTTAAAAAGAAATTAAAATTATTATTAAAGCTTTTTTTTAACTAATTAGATATTCTTTTAGCTTTTCTAATACTAGTTATATAATTATTATAATAAATAGCTCTATTAAGTTATCTAATAATAATAATAGTATTAATATTATTATATATTATTTATCTAGCTTAAACTAGATAAAAGATATATTAATCTCTTTAGAAAGATCTATAGATTTATATAGAAGAGAAATTATATTTATATTTTAAGTATAATTAGAGAAATTATATTATTTATTTATAAACTACTTATTATTTCCTAATCTAGAGATTATAATAAGGAGTATACTAATTATAGTTCTAAAGTTATAGATTTATAAACTATAAATTAATTATTATACTATTAATTTAGCTCTAAAAATTATAAAATTAAATATATAAATTAATTAACTATTAATAAATAATATTTTAAATTATTATATAAAAAGCTTTTAAATTAATAGATTTATATAATATTAAAGATATAAGAGTTAGATATAAATATATTAAAGATATAGTCTATATTACCCCCTCTTTAGAGGGGGGCTAATTTGCCTTGCTTATGTACCCGCCGGATAGGAAGCCAGTGAGCATGGTACACGTAGAGCATGGAGCGTTGTCCTGTGGAAAGGTACATGTGGCATCAATGGCAGTGGCAAGGCGTATGAATCACGTCTCATTGATTGTGAAGTCGGCCTGGACAGACAGGTGGCTTACTAAATCAGAGTACCAGCACGCGCTGGAACCAGTACCTACATACTGCGTCATCAAGTCGCTTTCTTGGATGTGAAGGGCGCAATGAACCTGCACAGGGCATCTCGGCTTCGTTGGTAGGTAAGTTGGGTGGATTAAAACATGGTACTTCGAGATAGTTAACCATTGAGATTCAACACAATATCACGATATATAACCTAATACTGGATACAATATCAAGCTAAGTATTATAGAATATTTTTTTATTCTCTTATGATTCTCTTCTTTTCGTGTCTAGTTAAAATACGAGGTCCCTGTCTCACGCAGAACGAGCTTTGGTGTGCCACGTTTTATTTCACCTGCTTCGTAGGTAAGAGTGAGCGACGTGGGTAACAAGTCTACTGTTCATTGTCTCATAATCTAAATCTATACCATGTGAATAATTATGACAATATTCTGCAATGCAAGTCTAATCCCCGTACACACATCCCAGGTACGCGTTAAATTACTTGTCCCCTTTTCCTTTTGGCCAATCGAGGATTCGAAATCGACAAGCTCCTCAGAACCTCAGCGGCAATGTCTGCTTGATAGTCCAAAGGCTGTGCTTGGCTTACCGCGGTGCCAGGCTCCATGGCCGTAGTAGTGACGAACGCTGAGATATTCATTCTTTCAGCCAGTTCATGAGCCTCCTTGGCGGTGATCCGCCCGACAGGATCCAAAACAAGCATCCTCTTGAGAATATCGAAGTCTCCTTGGCGATGACTCTCCGCGAATCGGTGCAGGTCTTTAACTATTCTGTCGTGCATCGGCTTTCCAACGATGATGTCACCATCACCCAACTGATGGTGTGTCGAACCTGAGCCAAGGAGAATCTGACTGACTAGCTCAAAGACCACGAGTCCCAAGCACCATATATCTATCTTCACGCCAAGCGGCGGTTGATAGTTACCCACTGGGTAGTATTCCGGTGGGGCATAATTAAGCGTGCCTGGGTGGGAGTCGATTTGTCCTCGTGGAATCTCGCGAGCGAGGCCGAAATCACACAGCTTGACCACGATGTGGTCATTTACTCCCCCTTCACCTCTCTGTTGAACAAGGATATTATGTGGTTTAATATCCCTGTGAACAATAGCAGGTTCATGGGCATGGAGGAACGACAATGCTGATGTGCATTGTCGAAGAATGATCAGGGCTTCGACACCCGTGATATCCTTGTGGGCTCGCAACGCGCCAAGCGCCACATGCTCCATGGCGATGTGCGGAGTCGTGTCGAAATCGGCACCCAAGAACTCGACAATGTGAGGCTATCATGTGTCAGTGTGTGTCTGCTCTGCGCTGCTGGCAAATGGGGGAGTAACAAACATGTCGAGCAAGGTCCATCACCCGCGCCTCCTTCTCCCACCGCTCCAAGCTCATTCTTCTTGTCAACGGCTTTTTTACCACGTGCTGTTTCCCTGTGAAGGGGCTCCAGTAGTGCACCACAGCACCAAACCCACCCTCTCCAATGCCACGCTCGATCAATCCCTTCTCGGGAAAGTATCTCGGGACTATAGCAGGCACTTGCTGCGATAATAGACCGTCAGGATACTTCCCCTGCCTGAAAAGTTGAGCCTGCATGTTTGGCTCTTGGAGGCCCTGGAGGCTCTGGATGGCTTTTCCAGGGAGAATGTCAAAGGTCGGCTGGTCTTCCACATAGATCGTCAGCCGCCACCGATCCAATTGGCCTGGTGTCGCGTCCAGTTTTCTATAGATATCGGGCACATCGCGCCCTGCGAGTATCCACTCAGCATTGTGGTCGTCGGGCTTATTTTTTGCGGCATTGTATTGAACTTGAATGCCCTGGTCACCGGTCAGGTCTCGGGCAACCAGACGGTATTGGTGGTCCAATCCAATCGAGAAATGACACTCATAGAATGTGCGTGACAGAGATGTGCGTTCCGCTTTCTCCTTTTTTGCAATCACCACTTCGCAATCTTCGCTGGTACCGAAGACAACACCGGCAGAAGTGAACGGTCTGTCCTGAAGTGTGATAACAATGCAATTGTCCGTGAGCCCTGGAGTCTTCCATTCTGGTCCGACTTTAACTTCGTGGCGAAGCCAGAATGTGTTGTCGTTACTGACTCGTACTATTGCCAGCACATTTTCGCTGTTGAGGTGCTCCATGGAATCGTTCTGCGAATGATTTGCAAGAGAGATCGAGAAGATTTGAAAGAATTGAGGAGAAGCTTGGAGAGAATGGAAAGAGATCGGATGGGGATGAGAGCATGGAGCCAAAGATTGAGCAATCGACACAACAAGACAGACCAAAGCGAGCGACTGACAGCTGACGGGTAGAAGCATCAGTTGTTCCACCTCATGATGGATGCGTGTCTGGCTCCGACACACCCTCACCCCCCTCTCTTTGTGCTACTATCATCAATCGTCTCCAGAAGTGAGTAATCAACGGCCGACGGGTAGAAGTATCAGTGCCATCCCCATGAGACGCACGTATACACCCTCAATCCCCACGTCGACCTTTGTACTACGATCTGCCATTAATGACCCCCTCCCCCCCTCCCCCCTTCCAGTTCTCCCTCTTCGTTTATTGTAGCACAGACGCACACAAAATAATCAGACAATAGGCTCATATTTTCGAGTTCATGCTTGTTGGGCTAATTATACGTCCGGGAGCCTTTCTCTCCCACGTCGCAGGCCGGACAAGGATATTCGCGCGCCAATGGGTTATATAGAGCCGCTCACCTGTCGCCCGTCCCATCTTCTCAATTCAATTTTATTTTATCCCCTTCCTATTTCTTCTCCTTCTGTCGCCTCTGACCGCAAGGGCAGCAAAAGGGAAAACTTTGCAGCCAATTTGCCCTGTGGCCCGCCATGACTTCCTCGCCGCCATCCGCGCAGCCCATCTTCCTCCGGCAAGTTGTCAATGCGACCGATGAAGAGCTCACTCAATTGATTCTACATCACCCGTGGTACATCAAGCCCAAGAATGACTGGTCTAAACCCCCATACTTCGAGCTCGAGCCGGGGGAAAATCACCCAAGCCCCGAAGAAGAGGAAAATCTCCGCGAGAGATTCCGGTAAGCCAACTCATTCAATCAGAACCCCCGCCACGAACACGCGCCTACGGGATGGACATGACACCCCTTCCCAGCGCAACTGAAATGAGGCAAAGGCTAACTTGACCTGTTTGACAGGCGATTAAGGACGGAGGCGCTGGCGCCGCCTTACCCCATCACCGAAGAACGCCTCGAGCTCGCCGCCCGCTGTCGCAGGGTGCCCAACAGCATTCCTCCTGGGCCTCGTGTCCCTCGCCAGCGTTCCCCGCCATTCATTGGACCTGACAGACACCCTGGTTATTTTTCAAGAAGGAGGGAAAAGGAGGCCTACATGCTCCTGCTTGACCTTGGCGGTCGGCCCGTATATCCTCTCGATCGTTTATTCAACGATGACACCGACTACGGCTATTTGGATCGTCGGAACCCTACTGGGGAAAGCCTACAACCGTGGAAGCACTTTCATGAACACTCAGTGCCAAGACCCTACGGTCGGAAATGGTGGGAGTCTTCTATCTTGCAATTGAAGAACTGGGAGCGGTTCCGCACATGGCAGCGCGACCACCGCGGCCCAAACGACCAGGATAACTTTCAGGCCTTTGTCCAGGAGCAGTACCGCGACTGGGAGATACTGCGCGGCGATGCTGATTACTCGACTTGGTGTTTGGAAACCGAGGAGCAGCCGACGCGTCTATGGAGCGCCTGGGAGAAGAGACAGCACGACCGGGAGACACACCGGGAACAGGGCTGCGGGAGCTTCACGGATTATTCCGAGGCAGCGCGGCGCCGTCTGGAGAAGAACGGATTTCGCCATCCCTTCCGGCTTCACCCAGATCCCATGCAGCAAGACCCTCTGACCACCTGGATTGAATACCTCGCCTATGAGTACTGGTGGCTGGATCATTACACCGAGGCGCTTGACGGCACGCAGGAAAAATTACGGGAGTTATGGGAAAGGGTTGATTCCCATGAGCTGTTCAAGAGTGACGAAGCACTCGTAGAAGAGCAACCATTCAAATACGTGTATGCGCACGATCCGCGACATCCTGTGTTTACTTACTCGCCTGTGCTGTACTTCAAAACGGAGTTGTCACCATCTAAAGTGGAGGATGATGTTCACCGGGCAGAGGAGGTATACAAAGACACCAAATCATTTTTGGACATCGCAAAAGAGCAGGTCAAGCGGGAACAAGGGAAGAAGGAAGCTGCCATTTACAGGAAACCCCCCGCCGCCCTCAGGCTGGACCAGTTGCGCAGGGATTGCGCCCAGGCCAAAAAAGAGGCTGAAGAAGAGCTCAAGTGTTTTCACTTTCGGAGGAAGTATTACCCGGTTCTGAAGGACTTGAGCACCAAGACGGTCGAGCAGGTCAAATCGAGGCATTGGCAGCGGCAGATCGTGGACTGGGCCATGGATGAGCTTCGCCTGGTCGAGGAGGAAGTCCAGAAGCTGCCCGGGTCGTCTGATATTCCCATGATTGCTGCCAAGCGCGCGTGTAAGAGGGCGCGAGTCACAACCGCCCAGCCAGACATTCGCCTTATACCGGCGCGCCCTGATGGATCAAAGCCCGCCAGGTCCCTGGGCGACAGGGGGCGCAAGCGGCGAAGACTGACCCTCGACGAGTACCCTTTCCCGGCGGGAGATCGGTCGATGTCATCGGCCTCGTCAATAGCTGGTAGACTCGAGTGGGTTTCAGAGAATGAACATGACGTTTCGCCGGCACCGGCCGATGGCGGTAGCAACGACGAACAAGAGGGAGAGGATGAGAGACCGATCGTCACAGGCGAGAGCAGTGGACAAGACAGGCAAGCCTCGGCGGAGCCGGTTGACGACGGCAGTAGCAATGTCCAACAGGAAGTGGATGAGGGCAGGCAGAGTGCCACGGGCGAGAGCAGTGGGCAAGGCCTCGCAGCCGAGACGTCGAGTCCATCCCCGACATCACGCCCCGAGCATCAAGCGACGCTTGCTCCTATACAGCCAGATGCCGACAAGGACGACCCGACAGGCCGAGAATCTACACCACCAGTGTCAGGCAATGGGGATGGACAACACCTCCCGCAGGGAGCAGGAAGCGAGCAGCTGGCCATCACGGACAAGGTGCCAGCTCCGCCGGAATCTCAGCCACCACGGCGCAGCGCGCGCATCATGGCGAAACAGGCTGAACAAGCCACTGCTCCGACGGACGAGCCTCAAGCTCAGCTCAAGGGGAAAGGGAAGGCCAAGCGCGCATTATCAGCGCCCGCAGCACTGGATGCCGACGAACCTCGGCCAAAGCGGCGGAGAAAGCATACCGCCAAGCAGGCGAACACATCTCACGGTTCAGCAGCGGGACAGGGCACCTCGTCGAGCGATGGCCCCGGGCAACAAGTGCCGCAAGAGGAGGATACCATTCAGGATTGCATCACAGTCTCGTCGTCAAGCCTCGCCACGGGACCTCCCGCCACTCGCGGGTCTCAGCGAGCAAAGCCCAGGAAGCGTGCCACTCCGCGGGCCAGTCGCAGCAAGCGCAAGGCCTAGCCCACGGACATCACGCGAGCGAAGGGCTCTGGAGTGTGTGGCACAGAGCTTGTCAGACCAAGTAGGCCAGACGGTGGGCAATGGAGCGATCAGGCATCGCTGTCCTACCACTTGTCGTATTCATTGTGTTGAGATGTCGGGACTGGCATCTTTCATTGCTATTTTAACTTTGTACCCGAACTATCTTCTGCGTTCTGCCACTTGTATGGCTCATATGTTTACGGTTATACTGCATTAATTGACTTTTAGACCTCTGGGGGGGGCTTTGTTTTTCTTTCTTCACATTCAATTCTGGCTGGACTAACCAGCCTTCTTCTCTCGCTGATCCTGTCTGGAGGGATAACTCTCGCAGACTTGGCCTTGTCGTCCCCTGGGATGGGCTCATGGTCAATGCCCGTGTGGTTTCTCGTCTCTTTCTCTTTGCGTTTGTTCGCGATGGCACACCTACGGCCTCGAGTTCCGAGGTTTTGGGCGGAAGCTCCTGGTGTGGCTTGGGCCTCGAGCCATGGTCGTCACGACATCCTCTATCACACAAGGGCAGTCTTGGCTAGGCGTTTGGCGACATGTTTCTCAAGCTGACCGACCCGGATTGGCAGCTTTCAGGAAGGGACAAAGGGCAACGGGTGTTTGTCAGGAGAGTCTCGCCTACCGACCCGCGATGCCGAACCGAACGAAAGTCTGTTCATTCCGAAGCCTTGCTGGGACTAGCCCTATTGCTGACTCTATTTCTCGGTTGCAATGAAGGGAGGCCCTGGCCCAAGCACCACTGGCCTCCAAGCTTTGTCAATAGGTCCGAGCATTTGTCGACATCATGTCTCGTCCCATTCCAGCTGCCAGGTCATGGTGGTTGCTATTATTTCACTCTTTGTCATCATCACTAGCCCTGATTCTTGAAATAGAGACGGTCATGGCTGCTTGCTAGACGAGGCATGGCGAAGTGGCAGGTCGTTCGTGTGGCGCTCTGACTTCTGTGCGTCTCGTCGTCGTCGCAACCGCAGACTAATACATCACAACGGACGGCGTACAGGCGAGCAGTCTGGTTCAGCATACGCCCACCAATGTCCACTTTCTTTCCACGACGGCAGCTCAGCGCATAAACAACAACAAAGTCCCCTGACCCCGACACAACACCACCATCCTTCCCTTCACCTCGTCATCATCCCACGCCCTGACAAAGCCCTTCGCTGCTGGCTAATTGATTGCTTCGCTCATCGGGATGGCGGACATGCCCGTAGCCTCGACCTTTGACAGGCCCCAGAGACAAGCTCTCCTTTCCCCTGATTGAGCGACCTGCGTCTAAGTGACCCTCACGCCCACCAACTGATCGATCATTGTGACGTCGAACGTAACTCATTCTCCTAGTATGATGTGTCGCATACGACTCATCTTCTTCTTTGCGCGCTGCTGGAGCCAGGGCCAATTGATAATGGCACACCTATCGATTGAATACACGCTCCAGGATGGTTCCATTCTTCACTGGGAGTCTTGTACAAGAACCTAACAGAAGCTATAATGGTACGCGAAATCGATTACACAGCCCGGCTGCTTGAGTTAGTTTCACACAGCGCTGGCTTCCCGCCCGGCTGATGCTCTCACGTCCCATTGTCTATCCATCGCTCAGTCAACGAGTCGATACGCCCATACATGACAGCCGCCATTGTTAATCCAGCCAACCCTTGCAAATCGTGTCTGCATCAACAAGACCCTTTCTTACATGAAATACCTGCCCTCATTCTGCGTTATTACTATTATTACATCTCCCCTGATGGTGTGCGCATGTTTTGTTCAACAACAGGAGCATTCCGTATGCCTGTCCTTCTTACTTGCCTTCACCCATCTTTGATATCGTGCCCGTCCCCTCACTGCCGCTCATTGTATCATTGTCGGCAGGCAGTGGTGTCATTGTGGCGCTACCCGTTGCGTGAGTGCTCAAGGAGACCACACGGACTCGCTCACAGGAAGAAAGGCAAGGGAAGATGAGGTCGCCGGGCTTTATCAGAACGCTTCCGGAGCCACCTGAAGACTCGACCACACCAACAACGACAACCTTTCGTGGAGCCCAAGCGTCCTGGGAGAGGACCAGGCTCAAGTTTATCGCGCCACCCTCTTCGACCCGGACCCCTCCTTTACCTCCCGTCGAGGCGCCCCTCGGCCAAAGACAGCTGTCACTATAGGTACTATTCATTGTGTTGAGATGTCGGGTCTGGCATCTGCTATTGTTGCCCAACCCCATACTCGGACTCTCTCCTCCGCCACTATGGGTACGAACTATGGCAACAAAAACCTCATCATCGAGGCCATCGAGTTTGCGCGTCGTTTCAGAGACCAGCAGAAGACGGCGGAAATAGCCAACGGTCAATTGTATCCCGACAAAACACACAACAACCCCACCAAAAGAATGGGTTGTGGAATGGCAACCTCGTATAGACAGCACGGACGAGGGCGTCTAAAGGCTGAGAGACATGTCGGGCTGGGTGAAACATTGACCATTGATGAGTGTCAACGAAAGGTCGAGGGCTGTCGTGTTGACCCTTTGTTCAGGCAACACTAACTCCACTTGTAGCTCAGCGACCCTGGCCAGGGAATCCTATTGTTAGAGGCCGCTAGTTCAGACATGTCGGTGCCCGTGGTGGCCGGTATCAGATACCTCAATGTTTGCGAGAAGAGTCGGCCTGCTGACTGCCGATTGCGACATGAGCCATCTACCTACAGATTGGTATGCGATCAAACATGATTAATGTTAAATGATTATCAATCATGACTATCATTTTCTTCTAAGCAAGTAAGAAGTGAGCGACAAGAGGTGGTCTCAACTGCCAGTTGAGGATGACGACGGCATCAACAGCTACCCTAAAGCTGTATGAACTCACGACTGTCGCCGTAACGCAACCATTTGTTATCTTGTGAAGGCTCGTAAGGTTTTCCAAATTGCATGGTTAAATATTCGCGCGATAGTTTGGTACTACAGCTGCAATTTTGTCGATGCCACTTTGTTCTTTCGATGCCTACTTGATATGCGGGCTATCAGCGGTCCATGAAGTCTTTCTACGTTCGCTGTATTACTTACTCGCCTTGTATTAGAAGAGCTTCTTCACATATCGGACCTAAATTGACCTCATAACGTTCTCACCGGAGCTTATCTTAGTAAAGGAAGGGAGATTAACGATCTACCCTGGGAAGACTTTTGTTCCTACGCTCTGATACACGTGTGTCCAAGACTGATTACCATTAACTACACTATATATACACATATCCACCATTTTTGGTTTGCCTAGTAGGTTATCGAAACCTCAGTCGTCTTAACTATCGCCTTTTTCCCGTCGCTGGCATGCAAGATCGTCTCCTCGCTACCATTCCTCTCCGCGGCCGACTCGCCATCCTTGCCGTACACCCCATCCGACTTGGTCGAGTCTCTCGCCTCCGCGCGCGCCACGTAGTTGGTCGCGCCGAGGCTGTCGGGGCGGCGCGCGGACCGCAGCTCAAAGTCGTCGGCGCCGTCGGCCCTGCTGTTCTGTTTGGCGTAGCCCCTCGACGCGGCAGTCCCGCCGATGGTGTACAGCGCGTTGCCTCCGCTTCGCGCGTTGTATCCGCCTGAGCCCGTGTATCCGTACCGGGGTGTCCAACTGGTGAGTTGGAGAAGGTTCTTGACAAGGGGTTTCAGCGATGGGGCGCACGCGGCGGCGATTCCCAGGTTGAGTTGCAGACTAGAATGCATCAGTTAGCTTGGAAGTGTTCGGTGATGGGGGGTTTTGAAGGGAACATACAGGCCCCAGAACTGGATTTCGTAGGAGCTGTTGCAGATATCGTCAGTTCTATTAAAACGGCATGGTGGTATGAAATGTTTTGTACTTACTAGGTGCCGTCTCCAAAGGGATTGAAGTTGATCTGGGCCACAGCTTTCAGGATGCCCATGACAACCGCACTGCATGAATATTTGGCAAGTCAGAAAAGTGTTCTCACGCGAGATTCACCTCGTTCTGATTGAACTTACACATAGCCCAAACTTAGGACGCCGATCAGGTAGAGGCGGGTCTTGAGGGGCATCTTCAGGGTCCAAACGATGCCCACAGGCAGGGTAGCAAATGCCACATCGGTAAATATGTTGAAGCCTGCGATCGGCGCACATTAGGATCGGCAATCTTCATGGGTGCAGGCCCCGGTTGAAAATGCAAAACATAGCACTTACCTGTGTTTGCTAGGCCGAATTTGATAAACATGGAGACGGAATAACAGGTGCCCTCGATGCTGCTATCCCAATACTTGGCCATTGGTCGGCAGTATAGGAAAAAGCTACACCAGGCCATGATGGTGTATGCGCTCACGAATGCTATGAGCGGAAAACCAATGTCAGATAGAGACGGCGGAGGAGAATGGCGACCGGATTTGTGACTTACCAATTAGACCCCAGAGAACATGATTGTACCAGGCCAGCGCATTGCCCCTCAGCTTCATCAGTTCCAGAGCGATGGCAATCTTCAGAAAGCCGATGCCCCCCATGAGTGGGACGATGGACTGGATGAAGCTGAACTTGTTGAATTCTATGAGTAGAGAGCGGTCGATCGTGTCGGTATGGTGTCCTAGGCCGTACGGGACCTGCAAATAGAGGGTGACTGTTCCCCCTAACAAAGAGCAAAGCTGTGATTTCCATGGCCATTAGCATCCTGACCAAGAAGAATGCGTAGAATAATTGGGTGTTGATGAATGGGAATGGAAGTCTAACCGTCGCTAGTATCATGAACACATCCTGGGGGCCAAACGAGCCGAGAATTCCAATGCGCGTGTACGATCTGAGGCCGACAACGAGAAGGGCCAAGCAGTGGAAGACCGTCGTGACCGCGAGGATCTGCACCGTTTGGCTCTCCGCAGCCCGAGCGGGATCGATGGTCGTTGAGCTCATCTTGTCGACGACGAGGAACTGATTCTCATCGTCTTCCCTCTGCCGATCAGGATCAAAAGTGGGATAGATTTAGGGCGGGGGTTTGCTTCGCGGTCCCACGGGCGATCTTTTACTCTTAAACGTCCATCTATCTCATCTTGCACGCGTTTTCCTCTGGTACGGTTTTTCATTTTCCCTTCTGGCTTAGATCCATGGCCAGACCCAGGCCACTCGACAAGTGTGGTCGCCCCTACCGCAGTTAAGGGTGCGGATGCCCGGGTTTTGTGACTATTGTACAATGTGCAGGGCACCAGGGCAGAGCGACAGGCCAGGGCCGGGCCCTGACCCGGATCGCCACCGTTCAGGTTGAAGCTGGACAACTTCCGAAGGGGTTCCGAAGGGAAGGTAGCAGCAAAAGGGAAACTCGTCAGTGTGATTGTCGACCTGAACGGGCGGCCTAGAGCCCCTGGAACGGCCAAGCTGGCGTGGACAGTGCTGGGGTAATCATACGATTGGCCTCGGCGATGTGGTATTTGTTGGTCGTCCTCCTCCGCGCCTGCAGGAGGGTAGCCCTTCCGGCATTAGCCGTGTTCCTCATTGGTTCATGCGCATCCCTGGCCTTCGTCTTATGTGGCAGCCGTGGTTCGGTTGGAAGAAGCCGAGGTGGATGCGCTGAAGCACGGCCTCGCGGCCAGGAATGCAGCTGTAAGACGAACTGGTGGTCGGATGGATGATAGCGTGGGCAAGACTTTGAACGTCGGAGGCTCGGAGATGAGCGGTAAAATGCAGAAACACGGGGTGCGTCCATATTTCCCGCATTCATGCAGGGGAACGGACGATTAGGCAAATGCATTTACATGTGCGTATCATTGCCCCCCTCCAAACCAACAACTATCACACAGAGGTATGTAACCTTGACGTTCATCACTTTGACTATTTCCAAGGTAACTCTCCATGATTCTGGAAGGTCCCCATATGCTAACGGCGAGGGACAGTTCAAATAGAACCTCAGTCCCTTCGCCATGAGCCACAATTATCCGTCAAGACCAGGCGGAGTAATTCGTAGATTTGGGACTAGATAGACGAGACGAAGTGGATACAAAACAAACTACGGAACTTCCCTTGCCAGGAATTGGAGAAGCATAGACGAGCCATTTGTGGCAAGGCCGGCAACCGGGAAAAGCAGTCTATTGACACTTAAATACCTCTATTATACCTTCCCCGGTGCTTCTAGTGGCACACGCCTGTCGATTCCTTGTCTACATTAACCATGATTCGCCTTCTAGCAGCATGAATGGATCCTGCAGATAGACGAGCCTCAACCCCCGATGTAACCTTGACGTCGGTGCGTCGCCGGGGCACACGGACAGAATGAGAAAAAGTAAGCGTGTGGAGTTGCTTTGAAGTCAGATTCGAATTGATTATACCTGCTTGACTGCATGAAAATCGATAGACTGCCATTGGAGCAAATTTCGCGTTCGGTCGCGAGCCCTGTCAAATGCTAGCGTACGGTAGAGGAGGAACAATAAACAAGCATGAAGGGATTTAAACGTTGTGGCTCGGCGTCCTTTGCATTGGGACGCCAAGTCGATACGAGGCATGTCTCCGAGAGCCAGAACAGGGTCCAAGAGCTGACCGAGAGGCACATCCCCACGCTCCGGTGCCTCTATCGACTGTTGGCTCTTGGTTTTCATTTCTAATCCCGGTGTAATGCATCCACGAAGGAGATATCCGAACCAGAACTCATTCAACAGATGCCCCCCTAATTTAGTTTCCCACGTGCCGTAGCGTGGCTGTGATATGTGGATAGAACTCCATCCGAACTACCCATCGTGAAACTTATAAGGGGCACGCCAGCCGTGGTGGTGGTGTGCATCCTTCTTCTTCAGCCACGAGGTCATCCTTCCCGCTAACCAACAACCGCCGCCCATCATGCAGATCTCCCTAGTCACCCTTCTCGGTCTCCTCAGCGCCTCTAGCTGGGCCCTCGCCGCTCCAGAGGACTCAGCTGCGGACTCGGCCGCTGACACTCTGCTTGACCTCAACAGCCAGGCGATTTCTGCACTCCAGGAGAATGAGGACACTTCAGCTACCGACTCTGCCAAAAGAGGAACTAGCTGCTCGCTCTTCAACGCCTCCGTGCGCCGGGATTGGTAACACTCCACGTCTCACCTGCACCCCTCCAATTAACTAACATTCCGATTTCAGGCGATACCTTTCGTCCAAGGAGAGGACCAACTACATCGATGCCGTTCTTTGCTTGATGAAGAAGCCTTCTAAGGCTGACCCGGCATTCGCTCCTGGTGCCCGCACTCGATATGATGACTTTGTTGCCGTTCATATCAACCAGACCCTGAGTATTCACGGAACCGTAAGAGCCATAGCCATTCAATTTCATATCTATTCATTGTCAGCTAACCGAAACAGGGTAACTTCTTGAGCTGGCACAGATACTTCACCTGGGCCTATGAAACCGCTCTTAAGGAGGAGTGTGGTTACAAGGGCACTCAGCCTGTAAGTCGCCGCCTGTCAACATACTTGCTTTTCGCCACTAATGCCTGTTAGTATTGGAACTGGTTCGATGGTTCCGACTTTGCCTCCTCGCCGCTGTTTGACGGCAGCGCAACCAGCATGAGCGGAGACGGTTCCTACGTGGAGCACGATGGCGCTCTGTCTGGCACCAACAACATCTACATTCCTTCTGGAAATGGTGGAGGTTGTCTCAAGGACGGACCTTTCAAGGAGTATGTATCCCGACACTCGTGTCCCCGGACATCTCATAGAACAAGAGCTAACTCTGAAACAGCATGGTCACCAACCTTGGTCCCGTGTCCCCCGGTATGAACGGTATGACTGCTAGTCCAACCGGTGCCCTGGGTTATAACCCTCGATGCCTCCGCCGTGACTTGAGCAAGTACCCCGTCGACACGTGGTTCACGGCCCGTAACCTGTTCAATGTCACCCTCGGTGCCGCCTCGGGCTCCATCACTGCCTTCCAGAACGAGCTCCAAGGCCGCTTCGGTGATCAGTTCCTTGGCATGCACGCCGCTGGCCACTTCACCATGGGCGGTGATTCCGCTGACCTCTTCTCTTCTCCCAACGACCCCATCTTCTTCCTGCACCACGCCATGGTTGACCGCCTGTACTGGCTGTGGCAGGCCCTCCACCCTCGCATTGCTAAGGACATTGCTGGCACCATCACCATTCTTAACACCCCTCCTAGCCGCGATGCTTTGAAGTCCGACATCTTGAACATGGGCGTCAACGCACCTGATCTTACCATCTCAGATGCTCTCAACACTCTGGGCAACGCTCCTTTCTGCTACATCTATCTGTAGATATCATTGATGATCTTTGGCAGGAATGATAGCCAGATTTCAGCATGTACATAGGAAACATTCCAATCAGATCACATATCTTAATGTAATGTCTATAATAGATAATATATGATACTTTTGAAGTAATATTTGTCCTTGAATAGTATTGTCTTACCTACTCATATGCACGAGAACTGTTATCTCCACTGGCGAAGCTTTCCTCCCACTTCTTGCCACCGGTCTTATACTGATATCCAGGATGCGTTTGGCGCAAATGCGGCTGTCCTGGAGTCGAGTACAGGTTCTCACGTGCTGTACCGCCTGGGACGTTGTAATCGCCAGTGCCAAGCCATCCACGACGCTCAAGTTCTGGAGTAAGATACTTGATAACATCCTCCCAAGCACCTGGGACAACGATATGTCCAATATTGAAACCGTCCACATCCGCCTCAGTGACCCATCTCTCGATTTCATCCGCGACTGTGGCACCGCTACCAATCTTGAACGTAGCACTTCCACCAATTGACTGGTACTCAGCCAGAATGCGGGGAGTCCACTTATCATACCCCCTAGGCCGTGCAAGCAGTCTGTTTCGCTGAGCTGGTATGAACCCTTGTAGCAGTGGATGATCCGGGTCTGTAGGAAACTCCTCGTCCGGCGGAAACTTGCTAATGTCAATGCCCGACGTCCCGCCAAAGAGGGAAAGGCCGCCGTCACCGATCGCATACTGCCTGTAGCGCTCAAACTTCTCCTGCGCCTCCTCGTCCGTGGCGCCCAACACGGGCGTGAGCTGAACAAAGAACTTGATGTCGTATGGGTCGCGGCCGTTGGCGGCAGCCTGGGCCCGTGTCCTCTGGATGTTCAGCGCGACAATAGCCGGGCTCGCGCCGCCGACAAAGACGCATTCCGCATGGCGGGACGCAAAGGCGGAGCCGGCGGGGGACATGCCTGCCTGGAAGAGCAAGGGGGTTCTCTGCGGGCTGGGGTCGACTTGGTGTGCTGACTCGGACTTGAAATGCTTGCCTTTGTGGACGACTTTTCGGACCTTTGTAGGCTGGGTGTACGTGTGGGTTGAGGGGTCCTTGACAACGGCGTCATCTTCCCAGGAGGATTCCCATAGTCTTGACTTGTGTTAGCTAGACAATGAGCGAAGGGAAAAAGATCTCCATGCACAAAGTTTTAGATGGCTTTGTGTGAGTCACGTACTTGTAGGCCAAGTTCAGATACTCCTCTGCAATCTCGTAACGTGTATCGTGTTCTGGCAATTGTGGTAGGCCGAACGCCCGGGCAGCATTGTCACTCCAAGACGTAACAATGTTCTAAGACGAACGGATGTTAGTAACCGTGTAGTTAAGAAAGTAAGGCCAGACTATATTCACCCATGCAACTCTCCCTTCTGTGAGGTGGTCAAGAGTAGAGAAGCGCTTTGCTAAGCTGAAAGGGGGCTCAAAGGTTGTACACGCCGTAATCCCAAAAGCAAGGCTCTTTGTAACTGCCGCCATTGCTGAAATTACCTAACACACGTTAAATTTCTGGATGTTCAATCAATTGCGGTGTATCTATATCACTACAAATGTCAACGTACTGTGAATGGATCGTATAAGGGCCATTGCGTTCCTGACTGGATAGCTGGCGCGTGGCTGCCCTTGTAAACATCATGCGATCCAAAGTTGTCCGCTAAATGGCGGTTGTCAATACCTATGATAGAGTACTTAGCAGGCAACGGATGAGCTGCTTACCAAGAAACAGAGCATTGAATTTACCCTTCTCCAAGAGCTTTGCCAATTCAATCCAGTACGGAAGACGGTTCTTCTGTGAGCTCTTGTCCTCAGGGTTCTGCCATTGTCCAATACTAAGGAAGAGAAACTAATTAGCTTGATTGGTGCCATCATGTGAGGGATTGTCCATACCTTATGTGGCCAACGCCGTTCATATCAAATGCATTCAAGAGGATGCGCTTCTTCTTGCCTTCTTTCGTATAGCCATATTTTCGCTCACCATCAACCTTTCCTTGCAGTAAATCCAAAGGTAACGGATCTACAGACCCATAGCCAACATGAGATCTTGAAGCCGTGCTACTGGTCATTTTTGTGGTGTGTTTCTTGGCACAACAATATACCTTATTGGTTTATCTTTGGTCACATACGGTTTTGTCATGAGCTTCTAAATATCGACTCTTCACCCTACAAGATAAGAAAAATACCGCTTTACGTTTCCGCCTTGGCCGATGTCGCAGTGATAGTGAATTTACCCGTGATGTCGTGATCAAGGGGTATCGTCACCTCAGCTCGACGCTACGCCCATGAGGGGCCGGATTTAACTGTCTTATGAGCGACCTCTTGGCAATCGTGGAGAAATGCTAATGATGAAATACATGATCATATAACGTCTTCAAAGCTAAGACTTCGAAATTGACGGCCTCAATTGTTGAATCGATAGTGTCTCATTAGGCCTGTGTAAGAGTCAGATGATTAGAAATGTGGTCCGGCCATTATGATGTACATGATATTCATAAATTAGTCGTGAAGTTAAAATCTCGAGGGTGAGTCTGCAACATCGAGGATCTCATCGTATTCTTGGCTGTCAGTGTTCCCTGTTTTGATGGTGGCCTGTAAAAACTTGGGTGACGCCGCCAATGGCGTTGCCTTCCCTCCCATAATCCTGATCTTTTGGAATAGAAGTTGATTACCATTGGACTTATGGTGTTTGGCTGAATACCTGCACACGTCGTTGGCTCTCGATGCATACTCACTTAGGAGTATACTCAAGCATAGATTGATTGCCTGTAAAATGGACTTTTGACTATAATTCCTAAGTAAGGTTATATTTAAGGTTGAGTTACAGCGGATGGGCTTATCTTAGCCCTACCGATACAATACCATTGCTGAGAAAGGTCACATCATTGCATTGACAGTTTGGCACAGCACACCACTCGGAACTTGTCATTCGGACTATGGTTCACTACGATCAATGGAAGCAGCGCTTAGCTATTCGATTCAAACGTAGTAAATGTTGGGCTGTGGCGGTGTACTCATCCCCGAACCCATAAAGTAATCAACGTGGTTCGACTGCTGGTAGCCTTTGAGAGTCATACAGTTCCTGTACGCCGGGTTATGCGGCAGCGTGTACAGCCTAGTGCTCGTCGGGATATCCGTCGAGAAGATGACGAGCTGCGAGTAGTCCGAGTTGGTCAGGATTACCTCCTCGCGCCAGTCGCCAATGATGTCGCCAATCATCTGGGGGTAAACGCCGTTGGAGCTGGTGGCACCGTAGTTCCAGATGCTCTCGATGCGAGGCAGGCTGTTGGAAGCGCTCGGCTTGAGCCAGTCCCACTTCTCGATCTTGCCGTCGTTGTAGAACTCGAGAAGGGTGTCGCCGTCCCACCAGAGACCCAGGGAGGGCCAGGGCGCCTTGGATGTGTCCGGTTCCGCGAGCTTGTTCGAGGGGGCGTTGTACACGCCGCTGAAAGACCACTGTGCTCTGTTAGGAGTGAAGCATTTGATAACATGAGTAAGAGAATGAACGCACCGTCTCCATGCCAGCGCTTCGCGGATCAATGTCACCAGCCATGCCACGGCCGACATCAGAGGCACCCGAGCCAAAGTGCTTCCACAGAATTGTTCCGTCACGGGCGTCATAGTAATACTCGTAAAGAAAGTCAGGATGGTCCTGCTGCACGCCGTAGCCCTGGAGGCCTGCTCGTGACGGATCTATCTTGGCAACATGGAAGCGATCGCCGTGAACGATGCCAGAGGGGCCAAGCGAGTAGCGAAGAGACCCGTCGCCGTTCAGACAGTAGCCGATCTCGACAACTTCATCCGAGCCGTTGGCATCCACGTCGATGATTCTTGTGTTGTGTCCATCTGGTGCGTTTTGAGAGTCACGCTTCCAGCACCACTTCTGCACGGCGTTGGAGCCTTTGAAGGTGTAAGCGCATTCGATAAGATTGAATGCGCCTCCGTCCTGTCTGTTCTTCATAAAGGCTACAAGATGCGGCGTCGTTCCGTCAAGCACACCAACGCCAAACCGCGCTGCCAGCGGCCCGTCGGCGATGTAGTCGCGTGGCAGGGCAACATAAGCTCGCATCGCGCCCGTCTGTCCGTTCAAGAAGGCGATCCACTGCTTGTTGTTGTCCGAATTGGACCAAGTAGTACCGTCACCAAAGACCACGCCATTGGCAATCTTGATGGCCACCTCGGCGATACCGTCATTGTCGAAGTCGTAGACGGTGACACCATCCCAGTTTCCGACGTCGATCGTCGATGAGCCGGGCTCAATGTTGTTTTGATTGGCGCTGTTTGGCCCGAGGTTCACAGACCACAAGAATGTTCCATCGTTCAAGTATGCCTCGATAGTCTGCGGGTTGCCCTGACGATCGACAACGTAGTCGTATTCGCCATCGCCGTTGAGGTCGCCGACCCAGACAAACTTGATTGGGTTGCCGGCTCGAAGAGGCACACGGAAGACGGGCTCTTCAGCGCTGTTGGCCTTCAACCGGAAGCTTCCACTCGCGGGTTGCTCGGCTCCATTGACAACAGGGCGGACTGCGCTCCGTTAGCATGATAGTGTTGGCGACTCATTGAAAACATGGATTCATACCGTAGTACTCATTCTGCTGTCCTATATTAGCAGCAGTGTCGAGGTAATTCGTACCACCAGTCAACACGGCAGAATTGACCTTGACAGCCGCACTTGAGCCAGTCTTTCGATAGAGATTGAAACCAATACCGCTTGGGTCAAGACCAAGCAGTCGCCAAGATACAAAGACGCCTCCACTTGCACGGAGAGCAACGACACCACGGCCGAGGTTTTCCATGGGCCGGGCGGCACTGGCCGCATTGAACAACACGGCCAGTGAGAGGAGCAACATGGTTGCTCTAAAGAAGCTCAACATCATGAACGGAAGTAGCAAGGCGATCTTAAGTTTAATCAGAGTTATCACTGAATCACGTCAGATGCATAAAATAGTAAGTAGCATACGTTTTTATACTTAGAGATGGGATTCGATTGTGCACTATGTTATGACGATTGAGCGAGCGGCGCCGAGTAACTCTCGGAGGTCGGGGTAATTGATGCGGCATTTCCAGGGGAGTCGATGGAATGACACTTTAATGACATTAAAGCATCGCTAGAATTTTGATCAAGAGGTTTAAATTTGGATTGGAGAATCCTGTCCCTTGTTGATTCCAGTGAGGGGCAAGCCAGGAACCCCTGACAAGGCATTTGGATGTTTTTTTTAGATACCCAAGATGCTGCCCAAACTAATAGTGAAGAAAGTTTGTTTTCTCACGTTTATCGAAAACTTTTAGAGGCTGAGAACTGCTTGTAAGATAGCCACATGCTTTCAATCTGGTACAGTCTGTCAAATGATTGGGGTAGCTAGCGATGCCCGTTGATCAAAATGGAGCTACGGAAGGAGACAATCCGCATTGTATAGAGCACTTCGAAAGGGAGCCGAATATCGAAGCCATCCACTCCAAGCCTTCTCCCAGCTACCGATTTCGATCGCCCGAAGCCCGTTCTGAGTGAATAGTGCGCGTACTCATGGTACTCGGGTAAAAGAGTTCGAAGGCAGTTGTCTGTTGGACTATCGGTGTCCGCCTAGTTACGCGCACTAATCACAGGTTTTGGTCTGTGGTCGTTCTGTTGCTACACTGCACTCGGCGCGTGCGGAGGGCCGCTGGGAATGGTCTGGCACTCGTCATCAATGGCCCCATGGGTATAACCACACAAGTCCAGCGTTTCGAAGAGGTATAACCATTTTGATCAGTCTTATCATTCATCTAGGGGTTGTTATCTATTTTCTCTTCATCTGTATTCTTTCCGATCTAGTAGACCTTTATTGGCCGATCATGGAGGACAAGTTTACGTTGAATCCGGTATTAATAGAATTAGCTAGCTTTGAAGTGTCGTTTGGCGAAATCTCGTCATTCAAGAATTACTGTTCCTTGATAACGCTGAAAATCATGAAGTTTTCAATGTTCGCCGGCTTATAATTTTGCGTCAAATATAACTCCGTCCGTTATTATCAAGTGCGAACTGTTCCCGTGTCTGGATTGAAGTATACTTCATCATTAAATACATGATCATCTTCAATTTTATCGCGGTAAACAACCTAATGAAGTTATGCCAAGCCCACTAGTACAAGAAACTAAGTTTTCTCCTCCAGATTTGTGAGTCTCTGGTGGTTTACAACAACTCAAACGGCCATGATGAACGTATAGATACTATGTGGCAGATGAGCTATTATCATGACCGGATTGGTTGATAGTTTCAACTAGCTTTCTTCGGCATTAAGCCAACCTAATCTTTACTGAAATTTGTAAATGAAGTTTATATTAAGGTTAAGTTACACCGGACGGACATGTCTTAGTCCCAGCCACAATACCATTGCTGAGAGCGGATCACGTGATTATATTGAGTATGTAAGCACATTCCTCATCCTCCAGCCACATCTGATCGGTGATATCATCCTCCCTTCATACTCCTCATACGTCTTTTCGTCACATAAACATCCCCATATCAATGAATTCGTCGAGGTAGAAGTGCCCAGGACAACTTACCAAACTTAGCACCTCATCCCTCTCAAGCGCCATGCAGTTTCGACTGCCCCTCACCGTCGTGGTTTTGGCCACCGCCTCAGCATTTGCACAGGTTCTCCAAGATCAGCCGCATGACCAGGAAAAGCTGATCCCAGACGCTACAACCACTCTCCCGCCCCCTATCAACACAGGTGTCGGTCATTTCAGTCAGTGGTCCCGTGAGAATAAACGCCAGTTTCTTATCGACTGGCAGCAAGGAAGGTCATCGGAATGGACTCTAGTCCAGGGCAATGAAGGCGGCGACCTAGACTCTATGACCGCTGCCCTCACTTGGGCCTACCATTTGCAGCATTCCACTCAGAACACGCCCAACCCCATCAAAGCTATTGCACTGCTACAGACCCCCATTGATGCGATTGACCTACGCCCGGAGAACAAGGTTGCTCTCCGCAACTCCCTTATGAGATCCGGCCACTCTGATCTTCTGACCATCAACGAGCTGCCTGAGGATCCTCAGACCTTGGCTCGGGATATCAAAGGCATCGTCATCGTAGACCATGCTGTGCCCCTGCGCAAGTGGAGCAACGCCCCCATCCTGAGCATCTTTGATCACCACAAGGACCAGGGTGCAGGTCCCGATGCGAAGCCGCGTATTTTCGAGACGGTGGCCAGCTGTACCACCCTCGTCGCCCGCCAGATGCTCGATGAGCTTGAGGCGCTCCCGGAGGAGTACCACCTTCCCCATGAACTTCTGGAGCTCATCTTGGGTGCGATAGCCATTGACTCCAGCGGCCTGAGCGATGCCACGGAGGAGGACCGCAAAGTAGCCCAGCGCGTCCTGGAGAGGAGTAATTGGCGCAAGTCTAAGCTTGAAAAGAAGATGGAGGAACTTGACGACGATCTCGGAAAAGCCAAGAAAGACATCGATGATCTTGGAGTCCGTGATCTTCTTAGGAGAGACTGGAAGGGGGACTTGGTCAACACATCATCCCCCGATACGCACGCTGTCAGCCTGGGCTTCTCATCAATCCCTTACTCCCTTGAGGAGCAGATTGCAAAGACTGGCTTCAAAGAGCTGTTTGACTGGTTCGCTATTGAAGCTGCCTGGACCGCCCAAGTTGGTGCTGACATTAGCGTCGCGCTTAACAAATACACGGTTAAGAGCAAGCATGGGAAGAAGAAGCAGAAGATCAGAGAGATTGTCCTCTGTGTGCGGAGTGATGTCCGTATCGATGATGATAAAGCAGACGCCCTCTTTCAAACCATCAAAGATGCAATTGAGAAGGATGAGAGCCTAAATGCCAAACCCTGGCACCGGGTTAATGAACTTGGCAGGCGCCAGATGGCATGGACGCATGATCTTGAGGACGCCGGTAGGAAAGTGATCCGGCCTATCATTGAAGCTGCTGTTGCGGCATGGACCTAGATGCCAGGCAACTATGTTTTACTCGTCATACCCGCCAAACCATTGATAATCCGATCTTTGTGTCATCAAGTCAGATTTTCAATAACCATCCCGTGGGAGTGATTGTTGCAACTTTACATGAATCACCAAGCGAAATGGAAAGCAGGCAAGACAGAAAAAACCAAGTAGGCAAAGTACTTCAAGCCTTGGCCAGAGACACCACTGACGGTGAGAGGGTAAGATACATGTATGGTGCCATCAAAGAAGATTCCGACTCCCTTGTTCCTGATGAATGGGCATTGAAGCTTGAAATAGCAAACCAGAGTGCGCGATAAATTTCATTGTATATGCCTCGAGGTGGTCTAGATAATTTCAATAAACACCGACCCTGCCAAGCAAAACATCCTCTACTGAGTAGGAGCCTTCAAGTTCTGAGTTGTTTCAATCTTTGGAACAACACCAAACCGCTTATTCCCTTGATCCCAGATCTGTTTCACGGTTAGAATTGTAGCACTTCGCTGCCTCGTGATTGTGGCTCGATAACTTACCGCGTACACAGACTTCAAAAAGGTGTCTCCAAGAATATCAAACGACATATCTCCCCGAGACTGGACCCCACCGTACCAAGTTCCATTACCTGCAGGTGCAAATGCTAGGTCTTCCGCTTGGATCAAAAATTCCTTGTCTCCGATAGCTACCTTGAATTCTGGCATATCCTCTGCCTTGACACTCGTAGGGAAGACATAGCCCTGCTGGGTCGAGTCATAGGTGGCCCCGGGAATTGCCTTGTATAGCGCGTCACAGACCTCATCTGACACCAAAGCCAGTGTGGTGCCAGTGTCTGCGATCGCTGTGTTGTTGGATAGCGTGATGGATTTACCGTTAATGGAAGCACTTGTGGATGGGAACTGCCAGAAGCCTTGCGAAGAGTCAATATCGGTCCACGAGATCTCCTGACCAGACTTCGAAACAAGATCAGTATCAATATAACCAAAAGTGTAGAAAGATTTGGGAGAGTTTGCATCTCGCTCGCTATAGAAGGCAGAGGTGAAGAGCTGAGAGCTCTGAGGGATGTCACCCTGGCTCATCATATTGGCAACTGGAGTCTCTGCAGGATCAGATTTGCCATTCGTCATGACGGTATTAATCTGAGGGAAGGCCAAGCCAAGCAGACCATCACCAGTGCCCTGAGCGAACTGCTGGGCCAGCTGTGAGGCGAGCTCGACAGTTTGATTCTCGATTGTCAAGCCACCAATGGTGACATTGTCCGAGCCGCAATCTCCGGAGGCAGAGCTGCCATCGCCATACGAGATTTTCCAGGTTTTACCGGCGAGCTTCTTGTAGCTAGATGATGCAGAGGGATTGAATATGGCGTGGCCTTTCTGGGTATCCTTGCCTAATTCATTGGAAAAGACCTTTATGCATACAAATAAGCGGCAATTCTTCTTGTGATATCGGTAGAAATACAAACCCAAAGGTCTGAGGAGCCGGTGTCGAAATCCAACTGTAGCTTTTGCGGAGGCGTGCCGATAGACACCTCACATAAGTACATTGAATCATTCTGCTGGTCGTCGGCTGTCACCTCTCCGGTTTTGGTTCCCTCGGCATCGACCTTCTTGGAGAGAACCCTTTGTACATAAGCACGTCCTCCACGGGCGGCGTTGAATCTTGGATGAGCGAGTCCATGCTGGTGGAGGGTATGGCTGTGGAAATATGGCCCAGGCTTGGTCGGCTCAAAACCAAATCGATTGAGGAGGTAAACGTATGACTTGGTACCGTTCCGCTGATAGTTCTTATTGGGGACGGCTCTGATCTTGCTTAAACCGCGGTTGAGTTTGAACTTAGATTGAGCCTGAAGAATTGCCTCCA